GGGGGGGGAAATCTTGCTTTTCTGGACTCGAATTGTCGCCAAAAATTTCACTTATTGCGTGAGACCGAGACTCACTAAGGAGCTGAACTTGAAATCTTTAATTGTACGCGGACGAGGAATATCCCCTTAAAACTTCAGCTTTCCTGTTTTCCAAGTTAGCGATTTTCCTGCCCAGTCTGCCGTATGTGCAAAATACACAGTTGATTAAAATTGCCATGTAAAATGCGGGATGCACCCGGCCAAAACGCCTGTGTTATCAGAGATATTTTTCATATTTCTGCGCTATATATTGTAGTGCATCTGGAATTCCGTCATGTTTTTTTATCATCATATGTTCTGTTGGTTGTGAACATTGCACGTACTTCGAACTGAGCTTGTTGTGAGTGGAAGGGGACCATTGGGGGATGGAGAGGGGGTGCTCCTCGATGGGGGTGGCCATCTGGATGCTGAAATATGTTGTGTCGTTAAACTGATGACATGGTTTGCTTGAATAGGGGGAGGCGAAGGAGGAGAGACCGGTTCTGCGTGCGGTGTTTCAGCTGCATCCATTTTCACAGACGTCAGCACTTTTTACTGAATTCTTTTTTTGTTTACAGTAATTAATTGGAAGTACTACTGATTCATATTGAATGTTGCTGCAACGGGCCAGCTTGCTTAAAGGCAGTCAACCACTGAATCGATTCTTATACCTCACATATACTGGTTCCAAGGCGTCAAGAACTGTCACAGCTACGAACCTGATCCCGAAACGATGTGGATTCGCCGGAAGCTTACGTACCTCCGCTACTACAACCTCGGTCAAGGTAGGCTTATGCCTAAATTTCTCAGCTAGAATTCACGGAGCGTGCATTTCTTGCGTCTCACTCATCCGACATGCTGGGAAACACATTCTCAAGAAGGGTGGTCTCGTTCCGCACAAATAACTGCCGCTGCTGCTGCTGCTGCGGCGGCTTGAAATGCATGTGCTGTTGTGCGTGGCACATGGATTTGTCCCTCGACAAGTCGCAGACCTCCGGAGTTGAAAGCTCTTTTTGCAAATGCTTCTTCGGCTTCTGTTCGGGACGTCTCTGGACAGTTTTGTCAGTTGCTACCACTGCCCTTGGCAGTGTGCTATCACTTCCGAGTGCCTCTGTCTCCCCTCAGACAGTGAAATAGTGTCTTCCCTCTTTTTTTTTTTGGCTGTCGCTCTGTGCTGGAGTTTACGTCCGTTTTACTAACAGTGCTTGTGTACGGTGCAGTAATTCGATTTGTCCATCGCACCACCCAGCTCTTGTTCATTGCTCACGCTGCCTTGTTAGCGCAGCTTACGCCGCATCACGCTGCTTCACTGGGTTTGCGCTACAGGCTTCTGGCGCCTGCTCTACGTCGTTGTGTGGTCGTTGCTAATTTCTTCGCAGCAAGTGATAATCCATTTTTTGCTTCCGACAAGCAAAACTGGTAACAGAGCGGCACTGAAAAGTGTTGATTTCGCATTCAAAATTATATTGGAAGCGTTTCATAATTTTTAGAGGTTATCCATCCTGCTGTTTGCCTTCATTCGCATTCGTTATTCATTTGTACTGTATGCCCAAGGTAGGTACAACTGCCCATGAGCTCAAAGACAAATCCTCTTGTCTCATGCCGAAATGGCGACAGCACGTACTCCACGTTGTTTTCTTTCTTGCACTTGGTCACCGCTTTCTTTCATACTGGTCGCAAACTCTTCCAGCTCTTCCATCAGCAGCTGTGGGTTTTCAACGATAGACAGGAAGTCGTGCACAGGAATAAGCACTTTAATTGTTTTGCAACCCTTTGCTCTTCTGATTTCTTGAGGTTTTTTTTTTTCAGTAAGCTGACAGAAGTTTTGTGGAAAGGATTTCTTCTGTCTTTGTTTCTCTGCCACTTATTACAAGCACGTCGAAATGGGTGTTTTTTTTTCTGGTGTGGCTTGGTGAGAGGGTCGTTGCTAATTCAGATGTACACTAGAAGGACCCA